AGGATATATATAATATCGAATGATAATATTATCTGTTAATTTTATTAAGAAATTGACCATAAACGTATATTTGACAGTTTCGCTCACCAACCTTAACATAGCATTAATACCGTATATAGTAACCATCCTTATTCAGTAAACATACTAATACGAAAGTTACTTAACGAAATTTGAATTGGTATAGAAATGAATGATCTGTAGGGTTTATGTAAATATTATTGAGAAGGTAGAAGTGATTGATACACATCAGTAGGTACTATTAGTTCTATTGCTCTCTTACAATTCGTAGTGTTATCCTACTGTAGTTCCCCTGTCCCGATTACTAATATGAAAGTTACTTAACGAAATTTGAATTGGTATAGAAATGAATGATCTCTAGGATTTATGTAAATATTATTGAGAAGGTAGAAGTGATTGATACACATCAGTAGGTACTATTAGTTCTATTGCTCTCTTGCAATTCGTAGTGTTATCCTACTGTAGTTCCCCTGTCCCAATTACTTTTGATTTCTATACTGTATATAGTAACCATCCTTATTCGGTAAACATACTAATACGAAAGTTACTTAACGAAATTTGAAAAGTGATTGATACACATCAGTAGGTACTCTTAGTTCTATTGCTCTCTTGCAATTCGTAGTGTTACCCTACTATAGTTCCCCTGTCCCGGTTATTTTTGATTGCTATATATCATATTACAAAAAGTATTTCTAAGAGGATAATGTTCGTTAGTCAGCGATCTGATAGTTACTGAACCTCTGTTAAAGAAATGTTTTGATACTTTCTGGAATTTGTTGTAATTTTATAAACATATCAGTACTTATTCTAGAGTAAGCTCGATAATATTCAGCTATTATAGGATTTTTTTAGGCAAAATAGTGGAAGCAAATAGAAAGATATAATATCTTAAATCTGTTTATTTAGCAAGAGAATAGAAATTAAATTCATGAAAAGACCGTACCTTTCTATATTATTTACGATTGAAAGATAAGCACATAGTTACTTCATCAAATTGAATTAGAAGTGAATGAAAACACTTTATCTATACTTATATTCCTTACGAATTAGAAAGGGATAGATTGAAATTCAGTGCAAAGAATTACCATTTGCTATTACCATTTGCTTATCCACTTGTGAAGTTGATTGATAAATCAAGAATCTTCAAAACTTTAGAAAATTAAGATTTATTAAACAAAACCTCCTTTACCAAGATACAACGTAATCGATTAGCTGAGGACCTCTAACGAGAAAGAACTATCTTACTATACTAAACTACTCGCTTATATACCTTTCCGCGTTTACAGTCTTAGCACCTTACTTACTACACACTTCAGTATTAGCATCTCAAATACAGGATAGTTTACACTTTTCATGTGAAGCTCTAGTGTGAGCACTGTAGCGCTCCTCTTCAAAGGATTACAGTTACTTAGCTAGCTATATTTAATACTTAAGCCTCTAACGAGAATATCTATTACATGTTGAACACCACACCTACGGTAGACATTACTAAATATATCATCAACTTAGAATACAATATTACACTGTCTTACACCACTTTAGACAAGATTTCAATCATAAGAGTCTAAAAATTGAGCTACTGAATTGCAATGATCATTCTTCATTCAAGATAACACAAAGACCGATAGCCAAAGTGCTACGAAAGCTATCCAGAATGTAAATACTGCAATTCATAACTTGATCAAGCCTGTTGAGACTATTGTTAATTGAAGCACTAAAATATTATTTTCTGCACTTACGCCATCTTAGGAATTAGATTGTATTATACACTAAGAGTAAATTTCCAGTGATATCTTTGAAGATTACTTTCACTAAGGGTTATGATATTATTTGTTTTCCTATAATTTCTATAGCCATAGAGCTATTAGTAACTATAATAACGTACAGTAATAATACTATATAGAGATATTAAAGCATTGCTCTAGAAATTATAGTAATGGCAATGAAGTAATTATACTTACGGCAATATTTTGAATTTACTTCAATGTTTTCATTAATATTCTCCTTTAAGCTCCTCTATATGGCTTAATTGTATAATGTAAGGGCCATTTTATATATGGCATTGTTTATGTATTATATTCACTATATTCAAAGTTCTCTGCCAAATTTACAATTTAGGTGGCCGCATGGTGATTGGAATCTCTCTGGTAATAGTTATTGCTATCCTGTACATTCGTTTTAGCCAGGATTAGAAAGGGAAGCATTAATTACTTTTATATGTTTTAGTTTTCCGTCATTATTGAATTATACAGTATTCTACATGCCATTCCATATTTTAAAATGTTTTGCAAGTTATATCGCCGAAAGGTGTTGAACATTAATTGTAGAGTAGCCATATTTTAAGTAGAATAATTCGGATTGTACAAGGTAATGATGTTCTATTTTAAGAAAAGTGTTCTGTTTGATGACTCAGTTCTGATTATAGTTAATTATGTTATCATTAATAGATTTAACGAAATGTATTTGAGGTTCGCGTAGATGAGCTTACCATAGAGAGAGGCTGTACTTCACTTTGAGCTCGGAATACTTTGGATTTTAGACTAGGTTCCTTTAGTAATTAATTATTACTCTACTATTCCTAAAACCTTGTAATAAAAATCTTTTCGAAAATTCTATTCGACTAAGACAGTTTTTTGTACGACAATTTTATTACACTTATCAGTAACAGAATTTGAGTTATGAAATGGAAACTGGTAAAGAAAGTTACAGTGTTAGGTGAGTGAAAGGAACTCACGGCATAGCATGAAAAATAGCAGGAAGGAACAGATATTGAACTTCTGCTTGTCATTATTTTCTAGCTCGACTTGCTTTTGTAATTGCCGCTAACAATTGACATTGTCAATTTGTCGATGAAATTAGACTGTATCATCTACCACCAATTTATTCATGTCGTATATGATTCGTGATACTACATGAGTCACGTAAGAAATCTTGTATAGTGTGAAAAGTAATACAAAGTTTATTAGGGAAACTGTATCGTAAAAATATAAGACAGATTTAATAGGAAGTATAAATCTGTA